ACTAAAGATCAAAGGACTCAGTACTCAGTCGTGACTGAGTCCCAGTCGGGATTGGAACTGGTGCATCCCTATAAAATAAATCATTCCTTTATCTTTATTTTCTAAAGATAAATGATTGGGAAAAAAAGGGTATCATTTATTTTTTAACGATAAAGGATCATTTATCTTTAGGAAATAAAGAAAAAGGATTCATTTATCCTTATTTTTTAAAGTAACACTAAATGACCACCCCTACTATAAGAAAAATCTACAAAGAAAAATAGAGCAATTCGATAATGATTGAAAAAATGACGTCCAGTATTACCTTTATACGAATATGTTCATTCATAGCTTCTAAGTGCAGGAAAAATGAAAATCAATAAGAGAAATGAATAATACTATAAGAAAACTGTACAAAGAAAATGGAGTAATTCGATAATCTTTACGAAAATGATGTGTAGTATTATTTTATACGTATATGTTGAGTCATACCTGGTAGGTGTGGGAAAATGAAAATGAATAAGAAAAATGACTAATGCTATGGGAAAAATGCATAAGAAAAAATAGATTGATTCGATTATCGTTCGAAAAATGATGTCACTACTATATATATATATATACAGGTATGTATATCTAGATAGATAGAAAGATAGATACATACATACAGGATGGCCCAAAAGTCACTTTACCGAAGAACAAAAAATTGGACAACTCCACTACGGCTCGAGCAAACGAGCTGATTTTTTTATCAATGATAGAGGCATGCTTAAGCTTTATATTCATAAAGACATGTCTAGAGAGATCCTTTGTTAAGTGTCACTATTGATCTCAACAAAAAAGTATTACTTTTTCACGGATAGGATATAAAAACAATATACTTAACAAAAGGTCTCTCTAGGCATGTCTTTATGAATATAAAGCTTGATAATGCCTCTATCATTGATAAAAGAATCAGCTCGTTTGCTTTTTTTTTTTGAGTAAGCGTAATGTTTATTACGTCCGTAGACGCTTATAATAGAGTAAGAAAAAGAAAAGGAAAGAAACAAAAATAGGAAACAGAAAAAGAAGAAGGAAAAAAAGGTTAGATTAGGAGAAACGAGAGAAAAGGGGGGAGAACTCTGGAAGAGGAGAGTTCATTTAACTATTCATCCTGTGATTATCAATAAATTGAATCCAGCGAATTAGCCCTTTCAGTATCGGCGACACGAATTCGCATCCTGATAGTTTAGGGTCTGAATAACTTTAGAAAACATGATCGTTTGATTATTTTATGATATGAATTACATGAACATTTGCATTTAGGATATTTGTACGGTTAAGACTATCTGTACCTAGTGATGAATATTGGTTGTTCCCTAATATTTCTATTGACCACTATGTGATTCAATGGATTAGAGCATAAGTCATTGGACAATATTTCCCAAGAAAGAATAATCGTTATCAACAGGATTTTTCATATTAACACAGTCATTCAAGAGTGTTATGTATAGTAAAGGTTCTGATCAATTGATCACATTTGATAACATTTTCCTTCGCGCATTGAATCAACAGAGACGCAACTAAATTCAAGAAGAAAATGTTACGTTTATGCCAATACTTTGAGAAGAACCAGATCAAGAAGAGATACTTCGTATGAATGCATTGAATGTGATGTAGGATTGTGTCTTATGGATTGTTTTAAAGACTGTCGCACTCTACAAGCATTTTAATTCATGTACTTTGTGATATTTTTTGCGAAATAAACGTTAGTTTGAAATTATAAAAACTTTTATTATATAAAAATAATCCGATGCTCAAAGGGTTAATCTTCATTCTAAATGTTATCCGTAGCCACCCTTAAAATAATGAATACTTTTTCTATCTTCAATTACGAAAATAATATGACCGTTACCTTTCAAACATCCATTAAATGTTTCAAATGAGAAATTGGTGGGCACTCGTGCAAGTCCATTTATTGTCTCATACACCGTTCCATGTGACATTTTTCTTAGCGACTGTGTTACAATTACGACAAAATACACCAGTACGCTTAAATCCTAGCAAAACTGTGCGAAATAATTTGAGCACAATCGAATACATGAATAAGTCTTTATTTTCAGTTACAATCAATATCTATTACAGGATTTACGCAACAACACTCTACATGAAGTGAACGAGACGTTGCGCGTTGAACTGAATTCGAGGTGTTGGTGGTGAGTGTGTTGTCGAGTAGATGCGAAACAACTAGAAACTTTTTCAGTTTGCTCTTTTCAAGAGAAGCTGTAATTGACAAAGGAAAGTAAATTTTATTCTTCCATGTAATATATTTGCAAGTGTCGTCAATTTGTGGTCTCCAAAAAAGCCCGAGATCAAATCCAAAGCGAAAGCCGATGTTATTGTACCGAATGTTGACGCATTCGTAATTCGCATCATGTATGCGAACTCTTTCATAAATGAATCCAATTCCTGGGCAAAATCGAATAGAGAATCCTGTTTGCATTATAAAGTAAGAAGAAAGAATCGACTTGTGACAACAAATGCCTGCATGTGTAAAAAAAAGAAAAGTGAAGAATAAGAACATAAAACTACATTCATACCGATCTCTTAGAGACAGAACTGATGTCATATAGTGACGAGTTGCGCATATATATTTTTTTTACCAAAGTAAAATGTAACAGAACAACATAAGTAAATACAATAAAAATAAAGCAAAGTTAAAGACATTTTTATAGTCATTTTTGGGCACTTTAAACGCCGTTGCAAATTGACAGAATGAATTGTCGCGATAATTGTAATAACGAAGAAAATGTTCACCAGTAGGACCAACATTGCATAAATAAAGAGTTACAGCAGCGTCTAGCCTAAAATAAAAAAATTGTTCTGAACGTGCCGTTGCATAACGCCCATTGAGTCACGTATTTCAGCTTAAATGTACACGAAAAATAAACTAATCAACTGTACATGCCATGGCTCCAAGCCGTTGGGTCACAGTACAGCTTGATCAACTGTCGAAATTGAATGCCTAAGATAATCAATGGGACTGGTATGCCTTTTTGGCTTTGATGTCACTTGACACGACTAGTTTGCCTTTTCGGCTTTGAATGAAACTTGACAATTGCTCTGCATTTAGTATACTACATTAACCTTTAACAAGGATAAACTACTTAGGATAAGCTATATATTATATATATATATATATATATATATATATATATATAAAGATGAAAAATGGGAAATAGGTGGGCGGGTATTGAAAAGTGTAACTTGAATAAATGCAGATGTTTTAACAAATTAAACAGTATAATACGAATAGCTTTTCACTGAACGAGAGCACAAGAAGATGATAATGAAGTAACAACTTAACAACAATGATAATGAACTTCAAGCAGAAACGAGCGCTATATTCAAAACAATAAAAAAAATAATCAAGCAAGAGATAAGTCGAGTCTACATGGACCTTCTTTAATGTCTCGTTTCCTCCCCATTAAAGAATTAATCAATCTTTTCACCTCAACGAATAAGAATAGCGCAACAGAATTTTCATTATCTCTCTCGTTGTTTACTCGTTTGAATCAAGTGAATCATTTTTGAAAATAATCAAATAAGCTGCTAACTTTTTTCACATTTAATATGAATATAGTCTTCAATTCTTGTTGCTTTTTCTCTTTTTTCGATACAATATGAATCCTTAGTCGTTAAAGTTCGTTCGTCCATTATTATCTTTGTTTGTGTATTTACTTTTGTGACATACTTAAATTCTTTTCTCACATTATCTTCTTTGTATTTGAGTTTTTGTCAACGAAAGAATACTTCAAATCATTTTAGCATATCTCGTTATCTTCTATCAACTTTCAACAGCATTTTCAACCAATTTTGGTATATTTTTTTTTTTCTTACGTTAATCTAAATAAAATCATGTATCACAGTTTAATTACATTTATTCTAGGCCAATATGATTTGGTAGCGAAAGAAAACAATGATGGAACAACACGATTTTTTATTGTTAGTGATTGGGGTGGTTTACCAATATCGCCGTTTGATACACCATCTGAAGTTGCTGTAGCTGATGCAATGGGTAAATTAGGTGTAAAATTAAATACAACTTTTCAATTGGCATTAGGTGACAACTTTTATTATGATGGTATTCGAGCTGTTAATAATTCAAGATTTCAAGTGTAGTGTTTTTTTTCTTACGAAAAACTGAAATTATTTAAAAAAGACTTTTTTCTTGTTAGAATACTTTTGAACATGTATTTTCAGTGACATCATTACAAACTTCTTGGTATGTTTTAGCCGGCAATCATGCTCATAGAGGAAATGTTTCAGCAGAAATTGAATATGGAAAAACATCAAAACGGTGGTTAGTAGACAAATTAATTTTATTTTCCATCTTCGAAAAAATAAATTTCAATATCAATAGGATATTTCCGGATTATATCTATTCATTCCCTCTATGATAAAGTGATAAACAAACGAAATTAATTGATTTTGTCATGATTGATACTGTTGTATTTTGTGGAGGTGGAGGTTTATCAGATTGGGATCATACTCCATTGGAAGGTCCAAAAAATCAATATGTTGCCGAAGCTTATTGGCAATGGATTGAAGAACAACTTCATCAATCGACGTCTGTATTTTGTTGTATATTCATACGAGTTAAATTTTTCTTTGATGGACTTTAGAGTTCCATATTTGCTTGTCAATGGTGATTATCCAGTATATTCAATAGCTGAACATGGTTCAACTAGATGCTTGATTGATCGACTTCGTCCATTACTTCATCAATATCATGTAACAGCATATATCTGTGGACATGATCACAATCTGCAAGTAAGAAAAAAAATCAATATTACTTCTATTCATATAAATTAATATTATTTTAATTATTTTTCTCTCTTAGCATTTGACGAATGATATGGATGAAGTGCATATGAATTATTTTGTTGTAGGAGCAGCTAATTTCATAGATTCAAGTCAAGAACATGCTAAAGATGTACCAGCTGATTCACTCAAATTTTTTTGGGCAGGTTCATCAGTTTATGGTGGATTTGCTTTGATGGAACACAACCCTACACATTTAAGTTTATCTTTTATTGATCATTCTAAACAAATATTATATCAAGCAATTATGACACCTCATTTCTAACACATGGATTTTTTCATTCATTTTCTTTCCTATATGAATTAATTGAGAAAAATAAAGTCGATCGATAGATTATATATTTTATTTTAGATAGCACATATAGTACAATAAAATTATGCGAAAGAGAAACGTTTTGATCAGATATATAATCTACAAAATATAATGAGCTTTGCACGCACCATGACCGCTAGGATTTCGAATGAAAATCTGAAACAAAATGTTCTTCCACACTTTGTTCATATTATCAAATTGTATGTGCATATCCTCTTTTCATAAGTATATCGATATATGCAAAACTGCAGTTTAAGTACTACTAGTTCGTTTCATCATTTAGTATCAAACATATATATATTAATAATGCTGCAAGACAATAATTACGAAATATATATCTATTTTCATTTTGAATGAGATAATCAAAAATCGATTGAAGTAAATATAAGTCATTATTAGAGTATTCTATAAAATCAGAAGAGGGGGGGGGGTGAATGAGACCTCTCTTCATCCACCCACACCCTTAACATGTGCGGTTATCTTTTGATGGACACTAATATGACAAAGCTTCGACTCATTATACTTATTATTTGTTTGCATGTTGTGTTCGTATTATACTAAGGCATACGACTGCTTGATAGTATCAAATCGATGACTTTAATTATCTGACGTTTCGCTTGTTTCTGTGAAAATTACAATGTATGATATGACTTGAATATGTCAACTGTTCACTTTACTGTTTGGCAATTTACTTATGTGTAAATGGGAAGATCTTGAATTTGTATGGATCTTTTAAATTCTTCAACAAATATCAAGTGTGTGTGTGCGTAGATATGGATGAACAGAAACTCATTCCTGCATACAGATCCACAGTCAAGATCCTCTAAGGCAGTTCACATCTATTACTTCTATCTGTAGCAAACATAGGCTTCACAAAAATGAATTTTCTTGAAATTAAACTTTTTTCCACTCATTATAGCCTAATTATATTTGTGAAGACAAGTTAGCATTGACTGAAAGTTCTTCAAAAATTTTATCTTGTTGCGCTCTACAAAATTCACCATTTGAAAAAAATTAAAATTGTCCTAATGCTGCTTTTAAACTTTTTGGAAATGAGTGTGACTGTGGCTCTGTATGTGGGAACGGACTTCTGTTCACCCAGATCCATCCTAAAGCACATAATATATTTCAGAAACACTACAGTGACCTTCGTTTCTAGGGACTAGCATTAGTCCTTCCAGAAATCTTTCATTTTGACTAGAAAACTATAAAACACTATACCAATGATGAAGACCTATGCAGAAAATGCGCTCTTTCGTGCTGGCTATGTCAAAAACGGTTTGGATTCGATGGATTGATGAAATAGCAACGTATTCGTTTCTCCAGAATTAGAACCATGTTCGAACCTTCCCTTCCATAGCACCATGCTTGCATAATTCTGTTCTGTTCTACACATATGTTATCGTGGGTCATAGATTTATGTGCTTTACTTTAATTACTTGTCATTCTTCATAAGTTACTTGTAATTAGCACTATGCCCCCTTAGGTCCCATTATGAATAGAGGATTAAATAAACCGCATCGATTTCAAAATGTTTATATTGGAGGTTGGATTTTCGGTCTTATCCAGCGATGTTCTTTTCTTCTATGTTGTTTCTAAAAGCGCAGATACATATTATCAATTAAATATTCTGTTTATTCGAATATTAGAATGTTTTTAAAGTTGCCTCGTAGAAAATATTCGTTTGTCACTCATGTATGTTTCATTTCAATAATATAACGATATTACTATTATCAGAACTGAAACAAGATAAATATATTGATGAATAAAAAAATATTTATTTATATTTTTCTATAACAATATTATTATTACATAGAGCACAATTAGTAATTCATATTTGATAAACTATCAACGTAGATTCATATATGCACTTGTATAATTAATATAAAATACATGTTTATATTATAACCATTCAAGTGCGTTTACTTTACAGAGAAAAAAAATACGTATTTTGTCGATGATGAAGAGAAAAGAACGAATACATACATCACCGTCATGGGTGGTCTTCTAAATATTTACATTCGTTTGGTTGCTTGCTTGTTAATATATAAGTTATACTTCATGTAGCAGTTGACATAACGAGTCAGTGAGGACGAAAATTAAAATGTTTTCCTCGTATATATCATACCTTTTTCCACTACTCATTTTTCTTGTAATTCATCGAATCCATGGTACAAATGTTAGTTTTGTTCCACAGCCAATTTATATAACAATTGCTGATCTTCCACAACCCTACGCTACAACATCTACTTCTAAAACACCTCAAATCACTTCTATACCGGCAGATCCTCGCCTCTACGTTCCTGATGGATTTACGGTGAAGTTATATATGAATGGACTCTTATCACCACGTTATCTTATCTATACACCTGCAAATGATATTCTCGTTAGTGAATCAGGTGCTAATCGTATTTCATGTCTCGTAGATAATAATAATGATGGTTATCCAGATGAACGTTTGACATTTGCTAATCAATCCAATGAACTTAATTATCCATTTGGTATGGCTTTTGTCAATGGATACTTTTATGTTGGTAATCGAAATGCTATCCGACGTTACTCTTGGACTTTTGGAAGTCGACAAATTACAGGTACGGGTGAAATAATAATGACTTATCCTGAAACTGGTCATGCAACGCGAACTATCGTTATATCACCGAATAGTGATCGAATATTTGTTAGTATTGGTTCAGTATCTAATGTCGATGTTGAATCATTACCACGAGCGTCTGTTCAACAAGCAAATCTCGATGGTAGTAATCAAACAACATTTGCTTATGGTCTTCGAAATGCTGTCGGTTTAGCTTTTCATCCAGTAACTAATGATCTCTATACAACATGTCAAGAACGAGATCAACTTGGTGATGATCTTGTTCCTGATTATTTTACACGTATTCAACAGAATGATTTTTATGGATGGCCTTTTGCATATATGAGTGCAAATTTAACTGATCCAAGACGACGTCTAAGTAATGGAACAAGTGAACGACCTGATTTAGTGTCACTTACACGAACACCTGATGTTCTTTTTCAAGCTCATTCAGCTGTACTTGATATGCGATTTTATACGAGCAATCAATTTCCTAGTCGATATCGAAATGGTGCTTTTGCAGCATTTCATGGTTCATGGAATAGAAATAATGGAACTGGTTATAAAATTATCTTTATTCCATTCAGTAATAATACTAATCTACCAATGGGTTACTATGAAGATTTTGTTAATGGATTTCTAATCAATCCATCTGGACCCGATACATTTGGAAGACCAGTTGGAATACTTGCTTTGAAAGATGGTAGTCTTTTATTTTCAGAAGATGGCAATAATTGTCTTTATCAAGTTCAGTACAAGCAGAGCTTTAATAATACTAACAACATCAGTACTGTTACTAGCAACACTACTACTACCGTCAATATAGCAGTCACCAATGGCATAACTATTCATTTTCAAAACTCTGTCATCACATTTCTACTTTCACTCTTCGTATATTCTTTTTGTGCCTATTTTTTCCTTTCTCAATATAATTAAACAGCGAACAATGCAACATTTTTTCGAAAAAATGTCGTACTATTTTTTGTGTAAGCTAAAATAGACTTCGAACAAATTAAAACTATTTCTTCGGCGTTCATCTCGGAATAAATTTTTTATTGTACGTTCAAAAAGACTCTTATAATGTCTTTTGTTTGAGTAAACATCACATTTTTGAATAATACTTACAAGGTAAGTAGTATGTAAAAAATGGTTGGAAATAGCTATGACAAAAGATATTGATTTTTCAGTATTTTTTACTTGTCTTCTTTGGGTTTCATCGTAAAATTCGCTCTTTATATTATAAATTCACCGTTGAATTCTCGAAAATATTTCGTAGCAAACAGTATAATATTGCTTAACGTAGATAAGAGGACGGAAAAACTGAATGAGAAAGACATAAGAAAAATCATTGAAATTCAATATAGAAAGGGTGGTGGATTGATAGCATATTTTTCGAGGTTTGAATGGTACTTTTTTTATTACATGAAATTCAATAGTGACTGCATAAATCGATCTATATATGTCTGTGATCCTCCTCATAATCAGATCGAAAAAAAAAATCAGTCAAAACATCGTTTTCATTATTTGTTCATCTGTCATTTCAGAATTTCCTAGCATTTTAAAAACTTAGAAGTAATTTTTTACAATCAAACTGATGTTTTGCTTAACTTTACTTTTCAACGTTACCATGAAAGAAATCATAGCAGAAGTTTTGCACGAAAGTAAAAGTTGTCGAAGGATTTTGTAACACTTCTCTCTACTTTGGTCGAACGTAAAAATATCGAAAACAAAAATAATAGAAATGTCAAACGATATCAATATTGATAATGATATTCTGATAGTAAACAAAGTGATTCATCGGTCTATTTCTTATGTTACCTTTGTGACGCACATGAAAGCAATTACTCAAAAGTACCATGTACACATACATCACTTTGTTAGCGAAAAAGAATCAAAAAGAAAGTGAACGCAAAAAGCCATGTATATATGGCTGCTACCAATGATTCATATGATCGTCAATTTTGTCAAGGCATAATTAGTGGATCTATCGTATAGACTTCAGCGTTGACTGAATGATAGACTATTAATGACTGTGAATATTTAAGATTAACAGAAATGGAATAGTATCGGGCGCTGTTTTCACAAATACTCAGATTGATTGGTACTGATGTTTGTTGAACATTACTTTCTTCAATCATCCGAAAAGTGTATAGTTGTGAAGATTTTCTTTTCACTCACATACACATCCTCAGACTGGTTCTTCTACGAGTGTCGTACCTGGTTAACAAAGATTGGCAGCTCCGACTCCGAAGTAGCCGCTCTACGGAGCTGGAGCGAGAAAATATCAAATGGATGCCGTGAACTGTGGTTTTCCCCCATCCATTTTTATCATTTAAGACAGAATCTGATGAACATCATTAATTAGTACAAAAGCTAGTGCGTGAAGGAGTCAAAAAAAAGCAGAGTTTTCCAATAAAGCAACGATCTTTTATTTTCGTTAAAGCGAAGCGAAGCGGCTGGAATAAGTCTGGAGCTGGAGCGACTAAAGGCCGGAGCTGCCCATTTCTGTCTGTTAGTCTGTCAAAAAAATGTTCTCTGATCTAGGAGCCTATTGCAGATAAGTCGTAGTCAACGTTGCTGAATCGAACTCACCAATTTGACTGATGTGTTCACATTAGATAGATCTAGTAAAGTTAAGAAAAAACTGAAGTTTTCAGCTCAAACAGATGAGCTATTTTAGAGATATAGACGTTGCAAGTATAGACACTCCGCTTAATTTGAAGCATTTTGTAGTGGAATACTTTTCAGTAAATTTTTATTTTTCTAAAGAACAACAATAATTATAGCTAGAATTGTTTTACTATAGATACTATCGACGATAGGCTATCTTTTCATGGTAATGAGGTTTGTAAGATTAAATTTTAGTACACAAAATTTTTCGAATAAGACCCAAATGAATAAATTTACCATATGATTCTAACTATGAAGAATAACGATTTTTTCTCGGCTGCTCGATTTATTTGATTCAGACAGAAGGCTATGTAAAGAAACCTCTAAATTCAAAATTTCAAGTCGTTTGGATGCGTTTGTGAATTTGAATATTATTTCGATGATATTCAGTTCACCTCTTATTTTCAGATATTTTATAAGAGAATATTCCTTGATGACAAAGTGTTGTGCATCACATAATCCTTAATAGATTGTGCAAAACTTTAAAAGAATTATTGTTTCTAATTTTCTCTCCTCCCCGAAATATCGACTTTTTACTAATTGCTTTTGGAACATTGTCGCCATTCATCTGAGAAGCATGAAAAAAATGGAATTTCGAATTTCGACTTGAAACTTTCCACATAAAAAGTTCATAATGAAAATTCCAGGTCTTTTTGTTGCTTCTTAACTGAAATATGTGTATCTAAAAAATTAGGCGAACTGAATATTATGCAATAATATTCAAACGAAGTATAAATCTTTCCCCCCCATTTTTTTACAGACACATTCAAACAAGTTGAAATTTTGAATTTCGAGATTTTTTGACATGGATTTTCATTTGAATCAGATAAATTTGAACATGTAAAAACAGATATCTCACATTCACATCCTAATGTTCAATTCTACAAAATTTTTGACAACGTCACTGGATGAATTCTGATAGGTGCTTTCACATGAGACTACTCTTGAACTTGCTTAACCACGGATCGCTGTTCAAGAATGATGATTATTTTTACTCTAATATTCTCTAAGAAAATTGGCATCTCACCAAATCTGTTTTTGATTCCGTATAATATTATCAAAGTTAAAAAGGTTCTTCCCGAGCATACATGTTCAGTAATATACCTATTGTCTAGAATGTAGAAGTCATATCGTATATAGATATTTCATTTACTTTGAAGTTACTGGATAACGAAAATAATGTCAAGAAAGACGAGATAGCATTCGAATTTCGTTCGATCACAAAATATGGTGCGAAGCTTCGAATGTCGATAGTCGAGAAATCGACAATTCGTAAACATAAATCATTGTTTCTATGACTGAGTACAAAATCCTTTTCTTACAAAAAAAATATTTCCAGTATAATGAAATTATGGTTTTTTTTTCTGTCGCTGTAATCAGAAAAGTTACGTTTCCATCAAACAACTGCTCGAAACTGAAAATTAAGGATGAGGAAGTTTATGACTACAAAAAACTCTATCAATACATATTAACATGTTTTTAAAGAATGTTGTCATTTAATCATTTGATTATCTTTCTCATTCAATAAAATTATCTGTTCAAATAGAGTGGCGACTGATGTTTCATACTGTGTTCATTTTAATTATCTTAAAACGCGATAAAAAACAAAATGTACAAGAATTCACTTTTTTGACGAGCATCTATAAGCCAATGGAACCTCCTACTGAAGATTAGACAACCGATAGTATCGGTTTTCGAGATCATTACATCGTGACAAAACAAAAAACACGAACTTTTGATGCATGCGTCTAGAAAGCAAGAAAAAGATGTCATATTACTTGTCGAGCGATATTTTATAGTCGAAACACTTTTCGTCAACATAATTTTGTCGAAATTTTTTTGTTGAAAAACATATTACCGTAAGATGATTATTTTGTTCTTTTCATTGTCTCATCTTCAGAACAAAAGCTCAAACGTATCTTTTACTTTTGGTGGTAAAGAAAAAAATAGAACAAAGCATATAGTTGTTTTTTCTATTTATATATTCTTCTGTTTGTTATTATTCTTGTGTATTGTTTTGTTTGTATTTTTTAATAAACTAATTCTAAAAACAGAAGATGTACAAGATTCCCCTATCAGCATATAATCAATAATTGATATCTTATATTTTCATATTGCCAAAATCTTTCATTATTATACGATGAAATCAAACCATGTAAAATTATTTTCTTTTTTAGCATATTCGCAGTAGAATTAATAGAGGAAAAAAAAGCACAGATCATTAGCAACGACCTTTAGTTATAAGTTATATGAAAGTCTCAACAAACATTAAAATGAATGTGAATCTACCACGTAATGTTTTTTGTCATTTATAAGTACAAAAACAATAGATATGAATTATAAAATGACATGTATTGAAAATATTCGTTCCTAATAAATTAATACATTCTCATTCGTTTACTGTATGAAAACGATCAATAATAGAATAATCTTTCGATGATTTTCCATTCGAATTATTTTTTATATATTCAAATATCATTGATGAGTCATATACTTTAGTTAAATGTATAATAGCTATCTAATAAAACAATGAAACTTGACACGTACAGATGATACTATTATGAAATTATATTATAACGAATAACCTATAAAGAATGAATCTTTTTAATATTTTGCATATATTTCGATAGTATTAAAAGGTGTAGAAGCAATTTTTTGTTAAAAGATATACTTTTTAATTATATACAATCTTACATATTTCAATCGATTTGATCAGAATTCATAAGTGAAATTGTCAATGCAGTTTTATCCTAGTTTCTGGAAATCTTTATTCGACGTTGAAATAGTTAAAACATTTAATTAATAAAATCAATTGAAATATTGTAAAATTGTAGAGAACTAAAAGATGCATCTTTTTAAAAATACTGAAAGGTCCATTCTTTTATGGCTCATCGATTAGATTCTTTATCTAGATAATATAACAATTGGTATTTTTATAAAAATTATTTGTTAACAGTGATGATACATCTATATTATTAATTAGTTTGGCAACAAATTCTTGTTTGATTAATGATCATATTTTTTCTCTTGAAGAAAGCTTAATATCAAAAGAATATTTATGAGCAATGATATTCATAACATAGTATTATCTTATGAAACTATTGTAGATCAATTATTCGTATTTTTTTTTATACCTTTTGTCATAAATGTGAGTGTGTGTGTGTTTGTGGATGTAGTCAATGATCGTTAGGATATCAACGAATTTTTCATATATATATATATGCATATCAAGTAGGAGATTGAAATGAGGATAGGTCATAAAGTGT